TAGGATTAGGCTTAAAACTTTCCTTTTTGCTAAAGCATATAGTTAGGGCTGGACCAGGTGACCCTGAATCCTCCCTTAGTTATGCTGCTATAGGTGTAGGCTGCTGGGGGATTCTCATGATGCAAGACCAAAAGGCCAAACCCAATATGTGGATGTGAGACAAAGCCATTACTATAGGTTTATTGGAGGTGTCTGAACTTATATATCCTTCTGGACTTCTGAGATGACACCATCAAAAATGTATAGGTGTTTATAAATCAAGTATGAAGTATAAATAATACGTTATACTTACAGGTGCTTTTTTTTGCTTAAAAAAAGAGAAACAGCTTGTTTCATAAAATTGAGACTGATATTCCTGTTTCCTTTCAACAGGTTAATTACTGAGACTTTGAGGCACTGTCAGTTTTTTAAAAATGATATGACTATGATATGATGATATGAGACATTATCTTTAGAACCAAGACTGGGTCAGGCTCTAATCTTATACTAATCTTTAAAGGAAATGAGAAAAAACTTTTGTTAGGTATAGATGCTGTGAGTGCTTGATCTACTTGGACACCTTTCGTGGAAATATTGCTTCAGAGAAAAAGCAATTTGAAACACCTATTTTAAAAGAGTGCTTGATCTGAACTACAAACAGACTGGAGACATTGTTGCAAAAAAAGCAAAAATGCACAAGAGGAGCTAATAGCATGCTAAGATCATGTCACCTGACATAGACGTGTAACCCTGAAAGTTTAAAAACCATGTTGTACTCTGCACATTAAGTGTCTGATGTAAAAGCTCCAGTATTTCATGTGCACTGTTAACCTTTATAAACACATTAACTTATTAAAAATTATAATAAAAAAAAATCATGTAGACAAAATTTGAACTTGTTGAAAAGCTTTAAGAGCACAAACAGGTAGTAAGTACACTATTCTGATTTTTAATCAATATAAGGTTAATATATCTGGGGAGACTACTATAAGCTGACTTTAGCTGACACACTAAGAAATATAAATTTACTTGTCAGTTTGCACCTATCCCACTTGATGACGCCATTAAGGTCTTTAAAACCTCCAGCAAGCTGTAACAAACAGGTTTTTTATTTCACACATCGAAATCAGCCTACCGATCTCTCACTCTGCTAGACGGCACATTTTTCAACCATTCGTATGCAAAAGACAGGTTTCCATGCACTTTTAGCTAGTCATTTCACTGTTACTAATTTTAGAATAACGGGTGCTTCCCTCATTTACAGATGGATGGATGGCAGCAGGGAGGATTGTTAAGGTGTTGCTTACTCATTCAGATATAGCATGAAGACTGCTGCCAGGAGATGAGAGATTGATGAAGCACTGAGGTTACCTTCTTTAGCTCTGAAATTGATTTTGAACAACCATTAAACTCAAGGACTTTTGCCATGGTTATAACAGTAAATCTTTGCAAGAGAGACCGAAAAGATGTGCATTCAAAGCACCATGAGGCGAATCTAAATGAAGAGTAAAGAAAGATTGTTATCAGTTTAGTTTTATTAATGCTCAGTTTTTAACACTTTTAAGACTTATGAACCACATGAGCTATTACCATGTCCTAAAACCTGAAATAAACTAGTCTGCACCCCTCTTTAAAATAACTGGGTTTGCAAGGGGGGAAAAGCCATCTACTTTCATCCTTTTTCATTGCTTCAAGATTGCTCCTGTCACTATCGACATTCGTCTCTAACACAGAACTACATTACATGGGCAGGTCATTTCCAGCACAAACAACTATCCATAAAGAGAATTCATTATCCCATCAAAGACTTTTCCTCTGAGACTCATCACTATGACACTAAACAGGGAGAAAAATTCCATCCTGCACACAGTCTAGGCCTGTAATCCCAGCAAGATGGAAACACCTGCTGTTAGCGAGTATGTCATTACCGAAACAGACACTACATTTTAATCAAGATAACTGTTCACTGCTGCATTACAATGTGCCAATTTAAGGGACTAGGCAACAAAGCCCGAAATAAAATGTAAAACTGCTGCTTCACCCTGGATTTTCAAATTAATAATCACAGAATATGTTGTTGATACTACTTATAAAACTGTGTGGTTTGAAAAAGATTCTGATATTTAGGTATGTTGTTGTGCTTGTGTTTGCTCCTGTGAATGAGTTGAGAAGAGATGAGTTTCCACAGTGGATCATTCTCCTGGCAAGAAACACACAATCCCCTCGATGCGAACATCAAAGAAGCATCCAAACCCGCTCCTTTAGAGTCTTACTCCTCACAGGCAGGCACGAGAACAGACCCGATTCCCCAAAAGCAAGTCAGTTCCTAATGAGGTTGGGAGATTTCAAACAGGGCTCAGACTCAGCTCTGCCCCCACAAAGATGAGAAGCAATGCATAAAATATGAGATGAACTGATCTTCTTTTACCTGCCGCTGTCTTCCGTTGGCACTTCGAGACACATTCATTGCTCTATATTCACAAGTTTGACCTAGATCTTTTGTGAATGATGAAAATCCTTAGAGCACATGTTTTAAAAGATGTGCGCTTAGATTTCTACAGCTACCTCTTCCTTTATCCAGAATTATAAAATTTGGAACATTGTCTAACAGACCCAAGCAGCTTCTTAATGGATTTTTCCTACTTCATTACTCATTAACATTAACTATAAATCAAGGTGTGTAATTCCCTTATGGCAATTGCCGTTTATTAACTGATTATCTGCTGTATTATTATTGACAGGCACATGCAATGATTAACCAACCCTGGTAAAACTTTGCATGCTTATTTAATAATGATGGGATAAAAAACAGAAGACAAAAGTCTGTAGTTTTTGTGGGGGTACAACTAATGGTCTAGTCTACATACTCTCACCAACTTACTAGAAAAAAGGGTAGCAAACACATCAAACAAGTCTTGTGGTTATATATTTAACGTTTAAGAGACATTTTTAAAAACAGGAGGTTTGCAAGAAAACATTTAAACACCACACAGAAAATTTGTGCATTAAGCTTTTTTCGATCTATTCTATATTCTAGATTTACCTTTATACACTCAAATTAATGTTGAAAGTAATAATCATCTTAAGTTGGTTTCCACTAAGATGACTTTGAATGAATGTATTCACAATTAGCATGCAAATGGCACCATTCACTTATGGCTTCTTCTTTATATGAAGCACTTTAACCTGTATTTGTGAGTGACACAGAAACCTGTATTCACATACAGTGATTTCCATGAGCCCAATAACTTCAATGACAGAATCATCCCTGTTTTATTGCCATATTGTGCGAGGGCCCAAACATCCCCTGCTTCATCTGTGTGCCCTTGGTATCTGACTCGCTTGCTCCCCCTTGTATTTTAAAGAATCATTCTTTTTAGCATGACATTGTGGCACAACCGCTTTAGTGTCTGCGTTACAGACATATGGTCAGAGAATAAGGCATCCTCGACATGTAAGTTACATACGGATAACCCATAAGATAACACCAAGTCCAATGTGTGGGACCTTTAACAGACTGAACAAGATTAAAAGAGTTTACTAAGTCCATGAAGTTCTTAACCAGTGGCTTCCCTGGGCAACAGATGTGAAAATTAAAATCACCGAGCAGCAGGATCTGGTCGTACCATGATGCACAGTCAGCAAGAAAGTCCGAAAAATCCTTATTATTTCTAGGAGGCCGGTAAACTATCGCATACAGCAACGAAGGCGAGTGGCTTAGTTCACTAGTTCACACAAAGTCCAAAACTGGTGTAGCGTGTTGGTGAGGATAGCTGCCTAAAATCAAAGTGTGCTTTAAAAACAACAGCTAACCCCCTTCCACCACCAGAAGCTCTCGGGGCGCTAAAATAAGCACAGCCAGCCGGCAGAAAAGGCACTTATCTCACCAGGTGAAGTCCAAGTTTCAGTCAGACGGAGGAAACCCAACGCATGGGAAGAAAAGAAATCCTTCAAAATGAAAGTTTTGTTTGCCATCGATCTGGCATTTATTAAACCCAACCTGAGGGGAGCTGGGTCATAGACTTCTGTGGGAGCAACTACCCAATCCACCGGTCGAAAGGTTTGATTGATCCGCTCCCCGCCAACGCAGATGTCGACGGGAAGGATTTAAGAGGGCTCCTCTCGATAGAGCCGACAACGGGAACCAACCAGGAGTCCACAGAGTCCAGAGCAAGCGATGGCACCAGGAGTCATGGAAAAGATTGACGAATGGAGTGAAGATCGTGGGGAAGGTAAGAAATCCAGATTCTCAGCTTAACGAGGCGACGTCCACGGGGACCCCGTATCCTGCGTCGCTTCCACGTAGCTGGTGGCGTTGGAATGGCACAACACCGGCACGATGGTATTGCTTCCAGATAGGGAGGCAAAGAACCCTGGCTTCATCAAGCTGAACTAAAACTTTGGTGGATGAACCTGTTTTCAATAACGTCTGGTGATCATAAGACAGCGTGGAACTGACATCTTGCACAACGTTGGCTAAAAATAATAAAATGAGACAAATAAGAAAGAGCGGTAGACGGTGTGCCAAACACACAGGTGCCACCTTTACTTCAATCAGTTCATCAAATAAAATCAGTCATTAATCGACTCAGTTTGACTGACAGGACATATGATCAGAGGTGAAGAGTTGTTACCACCCTGATACAGATAGGGACTGAAGTATGGGTGGAGTTTGTGAGTGAAGGAGCAGCCAGTAAAGGAGTAGATCAGAGCTCCAGTACCTACATCATAAAAGGAGACCAGACCCTCCTCATAATCCACAAACACCCCCACCTTCTCAGGGCCAGAATAAAGACAGAGACGGAATGAAGGCCCTGCACAAGCTCTGTATTCATTTCCATTCCTCAGCACTACAGTCCAGAGACCATACTGAGGTCTCAGCATAACATTTCCCTTCCTGTTGATCGACTCTCTGGCCACTCCCAAGTCCCAGTCAGTCTTTCCTTTAACCTGAACCTCAAAGTAAAATCTACCTGAAGAGAAACTCTGCGCTCCTAAAACACAAACACAAGCAGAAAATCTCTCTGGGTTGTCAGGAACATTCATCCTCACATCACCACAGTATACTTGCTTCCCATCATCAGACAGGATGAGATTAGGATACGCTGTATCAGGATCCAGAGTCACATCCACTGCATACTGCTGGACCGTCTTCAGCTCAGCCTCAAACAGCTTCTTCAAGTCTTTCCTGAGTGTCTCCTCCAGCTGAGCCACAGCTCTCACCACAGTCCCCTCATATGATGGTGGATGGACTCTGACCTCTGTCCAGTCCTTGGTGGGTGGAGCAGCTTTCAGGGACGAGAAGCTTTGGAGGAGGTGGAGGTGGTCTTCAGAGTGTAAGAGCTGCTCCACCTCAAAGCTTCTCTTCATCAGCTCAGAGACTTCCCGTTCCAGATCTTTGATGAGACCTTCAGCCTGTTTCTCTGTAGTTTCCTGTTTGTCTTCGATCTCCTTTTTGAGCTCCTTCAGGCGACTCTCAACAGACTCCTTCAGAGCAGTGAGGACCTGAACACCTTCTGCTTTCTGTCTGTCTGCAGCACCTTTACTCGTCTTCACTGACTCTTTGATCTCTTGAATTTTCAGTTGTCTCTTCTGGATCATCTGCTGAATCACAGCCTCTGTCTTCCCCAGCTCTGCCTTCTTTCCTTCATATTCTTCTCTCAGAGGAACAAACTCGTGGTTCTTGTGCTCTAAAACAGAGCAGAGCATGCAGACACATGTCTGGTCGGTCTTACAGAACAGCTCCAGAGGTTTTTCATGCTTCTTACACATCTTGTCTTCCAGGTTCTCCACTGCATTAATCAGCTGATGTCCTCTCAGAGCTTTCTTTGACAGATGAGGCTCCAGGTGAGTCTGACAGTAGGAAGTCTGACACACCAGGCAGGACTTCAGGGCCTTCAGTCTGGTTCCAGTACAGACGTCACAGTGAACTTCTCCTGGTTTAGCAGCTTGTTGCTCTGAGCTGCTGCTGCTGGCTTTCTGCTGAGCTTCACGTCTGAACTGAGCAACCATCTCAGAGAACAAAGTGTTGATGTCTAGTTCGGGTCGTCTCTTGAACACTCTGTTACACATAGGACATTTATGTCTGCCATTAGTGTTCCAGTGCTGACTGATGCAGTTTTTGCAGAAGTTGTGTCCACACGGTGTGCTGACTGGATCAGTGAACACATCCAGACAGATGGAGCACAGAAACTGATCTTCAGATTGCAGGTTACTGGCAGCAGCCATGTCTGCACTCTGAGGGAGAAGGAAAAGAAAAACAAGTTTTAATTTAATTTCATGTTTAAGAAGAAAGAAAAAGGAGTGTGTCAGTCTTTTAATCGTTTTGAGTTATTGCTGTGATGAGCAGATGAAGCACTTTAACCCTCTGAATTAACAAACCTCCAGGTGAGAGTGAAAAATGTGGAAATCACCAGAATGATGCCATTTGTCAAGGCCACAACAGACATGATTGGCAGAGGTTCTACTTTCTGATGCCTCTTGGACCATAAGGTTCTTGAGCAAAGTAAAGCAGCAGCAAACGTTCTAAAAACAACAAAACGTGTTCTCAGTTAAAATTTGAGTAGAACTTGGAAACTCCAGAATATTGATCTATTGGTCCGGAGTCTGCGATTCAGTGTTTGATGTTCTGGTTAAGTTTCTATTCTTTGATGTTAGTCATGGTTCTGTTCCCTTGCTCTTCCCGGTTTAATCATTTGTGTTTCCTGTTCACTTGTTTTATTAGTCTTTAGGTTCTTGTTACTGTGTCTCACCTGTGAAGTGTGCCACTTCCTGTTTTATTTTGACAGTCCCCTGTCTCACATGCTTTGTGTTCAATTTGCTTTCCCTTTGCTCATTGTCAGGTTGTCTGTTCATCTTCCCCATGTTCCCAGTCTCTAATTTTTTCCGCCTTCCTTGTGCGGTGCTCTGAGTTTAACTTCTCCCAGTTTACATTAGTTATTAGTTTTTCTTATTTTTGTAGCCTTGTGTATTTTGCCTAAATAAACGGCCCACCTTTTGTTATTAAGTTCCTGTCTCCCTGTGTTGTCAGTACCTGGGTCCTCACCCTCATCTTTGATGACAGTCTACTGATATTGTTGGTGTAGTGGTAAACTTGTTCACAGTAGCTCAGTTCAGAATGAAATTTGAAAGGAAAAAGTATTTTCTTCCGTTTTTCTAAGAAATCCATGTTAAAAGTGTTCAACATATGTGTTGCGCCACCCTTTATTTAACTTCCTGTTCCTGTTTCAATTGTTCATGATGAAAATGGTGGTATGTGAGACAGCTCATCTAACAAAACTCTCCTCACTCTGTGACAAACACTATTTCCTCTCAATGCTTCACAATAAAAGCTTGCCTGCGCTTTGCTTTTAATGTGAAAGAGCTAAAGGAAACAGAAGCACTAATAAGAAGAGGAAATGTGGAGTCAGCCTGAAGTCAAAAAGATAGGTGCGTTCCAAAGAAACAAGGTCACTGAGACACGCAAACCCCCTGACTACGTTAACTGAAAAATAAAACAACAAAAAATAAAATAAAATATTTCTCATCAGATTCTGACAACTAAAAACATGACATTTACCTTAATTGGATGGCCTATATCAAATATAACAATAACATTTCTTGCTATTGCCAATATTAAGAAAACTAAAAAGGGTTGCCATGGTAATAAAAGAAATCACCATGTCTTTTCCTACAATTTTAAAATTAATGTGTAGAGCACAGCAGGTTCAGAACAGAACATTTGAACATTTTTCTTGTTTTAAGCTTGTTTGTTTTGCAAGGAACTGAACTCTGTTTGCAGCTGAACAGCTCCACTCTCCTTTCTCTTCAATCCACTCTACAACAACAATCTCCTGCTTCCCTTACAGATTCATCCATATCCAAGTTGTTTGTTCTGCTCTGCCCTGCCCTCTGAGAAACCTGACACTGGCTCATTTGCATACTAACAGTGATTGGATGTTTAGCTGCAGGAAGCAATCTCTGCGGAGTGCTGTGTGAGTCTGCGCACAAACTAGTGGTGGGAATTCTGGCTCTTTTTAGAGAGCCGACTCTTTTGGCTCCCAAGCAGTTCTTGAGGTTATTTTGTTGCTTTAATTAATTTATTATGAACAACAATATAAAATTATGCACAAAATGAATTACTAATGTAAAAAAAAACGTGTTTTTATTTATATAGGTTTATTATATAAATAACACATATACTTTTATTTATTCACTCCACATAAAATGAAAAAGATTATAAAATATTATAATTATATTATATAAATTATAAAATACAAAAACAAACTGTTTACAATTCAACTTTTAACTCTTTAAATTTTCAGCTTTTTCCTTTTACACAAATTTAAAGTGAAACAACACAAAACACTGCAAACCACAACACAATAAAATATAGATTAAAATATGCAAAACCAAAAGAAACAAAATGCACCTTCATTAATATCACACTCAGCTGTCTGTGTGTGATCTTCCCATTGAACTGATGGGCGGACAGTTCTCAGCTGCCTGTGCAGGTTGTTTGTGGAGCTGGCTCTCTGTGATATCCTTTTCTTGCAGACTCTACACTCTGCCTTTGCATTCTCTGTAAAATTGAAATGGTTTCAGATTTTGCTTCTTTTCTTGGCGTCACTCATTTTCTTTATGATACCTCTCTAATGTGTCGATGTTGTTGCCCCTGGCTCTCTTTCCCTCTCTTCCTCCTGCTCTGTTTGTGTGCTACTGCTGCTGCCAGTGTAACTACCGCCCCTTCCCCCAGACCAGGGTGAGAGAAAGAATAGAGATTGAAAATGTGACATTATTTCCGGGGCAAAGCCGCAAAGGATTGTAGGTACGAGTGGCAAGTGGTACTAGCCACTATTGCTGAAAACAGTCACACAGCGATAAAAAGAAACACAAAGAATGGCAAGAAGCTGTTGTATTATTAACTGCAATAGCCGGTCACATGACAGCCACGGAAAGCCGTCAAGGAATGAGATCAGTTTTAATTGGATTACGTCGTTGAAGAAAAATTGTTCAAGCCATGTTTCCGAAGTAACAAAGAGCCGACAGATGGCCTGGATTGCACTCATTCGAAGACCAAATATAACGTTCCAGAACACTCCAGCTCACATGTTAGTCTGCTCCAAGCATTTCCACAAAGGTAAGTCTTTTGTTGTA